AAACTCTGTCTCAAAAAAAAAAAAAAAAAAAGAAAGAAAGAAAGAAAGTGATCATCTGCCTTAAGGCTAGTCTGCAGTAGAAGGGGAGGGCCAGGTGAATTCCAGGAAGAATGTGTGTAGCAGCACAAAAGGGATGTTTAAAATGAGCTTTGGCATATGGTTACAACTAGCATATATGGGAGGAGTGGCAAGAAATTCAGCTAGAAAGGTAAGTTAGAGGCAGATTGTGAAAGATTTTGTGAACGTTTGGGGGTTTAGACTTGATTCCCTATGCCAGTGGTTCTGGCTTGTTAGAAACACAAATTCTTGGTTCTCACCCTAAGCCTACTGAATCAGAAATTCTGGGATTGGGGCCCAGTCACCTGTTTTAACAAGTTTTCCAGGTGATTCTGATCCACACTAAACTTTGAGAACCACTGCTGCAGGCAGTGGGAAACCACCTAAAGATCTTCTCTTTTAAATATAGGGACAAAGTCTCACTATGTTGCCCAGGCTGGTCTTGAACTCCTGACCAAGTGATCTGCCTGCCTTGGCCTCCCAAAGCACTGGGGTTACAAGCATAACCTACAATTGTGCTTGGCCTTCAGGACTTTAAGCAGGGAACTGATCTAATAAGATTTGAAGTAGGAAAGGGTTGCCGTTGACCATTCAACCACAACACCTAACTCCTGAGTAGTTACCATAAAAAATAAAAAATCGGCCAGGTTCAGTGGCTCACGGCTGTAATCCCAGCACTTTGGGAGGCCGAGGCGGGCAGATCACTTGTTCAGGAGTTCAAGACCAGCCCGACCAATAGGATGAAACCCCATCCCTGCAAAAAATACAAAAATTAGCCAAGCCTGGTGGCATGTACCTGTAATCCCAGCTACTTGGGAGGCCAAGACAGAAGAATTGCTTGAACCAGGGAGGGAGAGGTTGCAGTGAGCCGAGATCACACCCTTACACTCCAGCTTGAGCAACAAGAGCAAAACTCCGTCTCAAAAATAAAAAAATAAAAATAAACTGTCGAATGAATGTGGTATGAAGAAATGATGAGGGCCTAGGCTAAGGGTTCAGAAATGGAGAAGAAACAGGTTTTTAGAGATGTTTTACATGTGACCGAATTCAACCAAGTGACTAGGATATATCCACACAAAGGTGTGACTGAAATGGTTTTTATATAAAGAAACCTGTAATAGTGTGGAATATATTAACTGCTAGGCTTGAAAAAAGTGGTCCTCATAGAACCTGGAAAAAGGGGAGTTCAAGAGCAAGTGTTTTTGTGTTTCCATATAGTCAAGAGCAAAGCTTGCCTTGGCTTACACATGAGTCTTCTGGTCTGTTTGACAGTTCTCCTTCTCACTGAGAGTTAGTAAATTGCCATTCATGCTCATAGGAATCTTTTGAGTTTGGCTGGTGTGAATCAATCAGTGAGACTGACAATTTCTGGATGTGCCAATGAAATGCTGAACCTGGAAAAGCTAAAAACCAGACATTGGTTCTGGTGATGTAACCAAGGTACTACTAAAGTAAGACAATGCTACAGCCTTCCTTTTTTAAAAAGAATTCTAACTTCATCACTAATAACATAGTCTGTCTAATTCAGGAAGAAGCTGGAATGAGTAAAAGAATCAGACTTTGTTCTCTGCCCTGAAGGTCAAGAAAGTCAACTGAAGCTGCTATTTCTAATTTTGGAGGCAGGATTTAGCTGAGGCCATCTTCAATTTCCTGATGAAGAGAGGTACAGGTCAACCTATATGGTTAATATACCTAATGAGAACTCTGCAGGGTGCAATTCCTTTTTTTTTTTTTCTTTTTTTGAGACGGAGTTTCAATCTTGTTGCCCAAGCTGGAGTGCAATGACATGATCTGGGCTCACTGCAACCTTCACCTCCTAGGTTCAAATGATTCTCCTGTCTCAGCCTCCTGAGTAGCTGGGATTACAGGCATGAGCCACCACGCCTGGCTAATTTTGTATTTTTTAGTAGCGACAGGGTTTCTCCGTGTTGGCCAGTCTGGTCTCGAACTCCCTCAGGTGATCCACCTGCCTTGGCCTCCCAAAATGCTGAGATTACAGGTGTGAGCCACCATGCCCAGCTGGAGTGCAGTGGCATGGCCTCAGCTTAATGCAGCCTCGACCTCCCAGGTTCAAGTGATCTTCCCACCTCAGCCTGTTGTGTAGTTGAGACCACAGGTGCCAAGCAACTATGCCCAGCTAATTAAAACAAAAAAATATATATATATATTTTTGGCCGGGTGTAGTGGCTCATGCCTGTAATCCCCGAACTTTGGGAGGCCGAAGCAGGTGGATCACCTGAGGTCAGGAGTTCAAGACAAGCCATAAGCCCGGCCAACATGATGAAACCCCGTCTCTACTAAAAATACAAAAACTAGCTCGGTGTGGTGGTGGGCGCTTGTAATCGTAGGTACTTGGGAGACTGGGCAGGAGAATTGCTTGAACCCGGGAGGTGGACGTAGAAGGCCAAGCGTGGTGGCTCATGCCTGTAATCCCAGCTTTGGGATTACTTTGGGAAGCCAACATGGGCAGACCAATTAAGATCAGGAGCTTGAGACCAGCCTGGGCAAACATGGTGAAACCTTATCTTAAAAAAAAAAAAAAAAAAATGACAAAAGTTGGCCAGGCATGGTGGGTCATGCCTATAAACATAACACTTTGGAAGGCCGAGGTGGGCAGATCACCTGAGGTCAAGAGTTCAAGACCAGCCTTGCCAACATGGTGAAACCCTGTCTTTAAAAAAAAAAATGACAAAAGTTGGCCAGGCATGGTGGCTCATGCCTATAAACATAGCACTTTGGAAGACCAAGGTGGGCAGATCACTTGAGGTCAGGAGTTCAAGACCAGCCTGGCCAACATGGTGAAACCCAGTCTCCACTAAACATAAAAATAAGCTGGTCGTGGTGGTGCATGCCTGTGATCGCAGCTAATTGGGAGGCTGAGGCGGGAGAATTGCTTAAGCCTGGGAGGTGGAGGCTGCAGTGAGCCAAGATCATGCCACTGCACTCCAGCTTGGGTGACAGAGCAAGACTCTGTCTCAAAAAAGTGATAATAATACAAAAGTTAACTAGGAGTTGTGGTGGCACGCCGGTAGCCCCAACTACTAGGGAGGCTGAGGTGGGAGATCACTTGAGCCTGGGAGACAAATGTTGCAGTGAGCTGACATTGCACCACTGCACTCCAGGCCTGGGCCACAGAGCAAGACCCTGTGTCCTGAAAAAGATGTTTTTTGTAGACATGTAAAATGTCTCTATATTCCATTTTAAACTTCTTTAAAAACAGAAGAAGAATAGTAGCAAGTTACTTTATTGGCCTATTAGGGGAATGGAACCGCTTTTCTGATAATTTCTTAACTGTTTTTAGAAAATGCAGTTAAATGTAAAATCTATGAAAAAATTAAATAAAACACTTGGGAAGCAAATGCGCATGAACAATTTAAGGAAGAAGCATACATTGTTTTACGAACTATTTGATCTGTTTTGTATTTTTGCCTACAAATGAGTAACTTTATACTGAATATGTGTCCATAACATTTAATTATATATTATTAATACGAGTATAGGGAATCTATCACAGCTATCCCTTCCAGAGTTGAAAAATTCCAAACTTTCATAGTATTTGAGTAAACAAACCTCTGTTGTTTTGAGAGTTCAAGAAATGCTTCAGAAACTAGTTTAATCTCGCATTCTGATTGGGTATGTAGATGTGAACAACTTGAAAGACACATTTGGCCCCATTTCCTGTTTTCCAATCTTCTCACTACCAACTGTAATCTAAAAGTTGGCATCCACTCCGTATTTAATATCCTGTATATCGTATTTTCTAGGCAGAGATTTTCCAGTACTTAGAGGAAGCGTGGACAAGATCTTCACCGAGAACATTATTAAATCACATGTGTGCCTTGAGTGAAAAAGTAGACTTTCCCCTTTCTGTCTGGAATTCACATTGAGAACGCAATGCACTCCGAAAGTACAGGACTGCTTTTAGGCAAGATCCAAAGGACCCAATTTTTCACGTTTGCGTCCTCTTCTTATTTCCCTCAATGGTAAATTTTCACTTAGTATTTGTCCTCTCGTTCCCCGACGGGAGATCTCTCCTATTCTACCGGGGCAGAAGTGCTACTTCAGCCGGAGAGGGCAGATGTTAATTACTTTCCTTCAAAGGGGGAAACGGCGGAGCATCGATTAACGGCTGGAGGGCTCGAGAGGGAGTCAAAAATGGTCTGACCTAGGACTTCAGCTCCACCTGATTGGGGCCCAGCCTTCCCAGCCCTCGTCCCCACACCGGCCGCTCCATATGAAACCGATCATGTGAGCCTGTTTACAGCAGAGCGGCTGGTGCAACCATCAGGATCCGTGCAGAGGTCCAGGGAGGGGGAAGGATATAGGCCACGCACCCCCTACACCCCACCCCATTATTCCAAGAAGGCGTTCGCTCTTCCACTCCGCCTCTCCACCCCAGTTTCATCTCCCTCCAGCCAAAGAGAGCAGAGCCGAGGATATCCCGGGACGCTTCGCTCCAGCCCAGCCGATTTCCTTCCAGTTGCTCGCTGGGGCGACCGGCTGAGCTGGAGGAAGGGCGAGGACCGTGTCACCCCAGAGAGTCAACCTCCCTCCCCCAGCCCTCCTCTCTGCGTCCACCAAAGAGTTGTCCCTAGAGCCGCATCCCCGGGGCAACCAAACTCCGCTGGGCAGGCACCGAGAGGCTCCCGAGCCTGCCTTTGCCCAGGCAGGAGCGAGGCACACAGTAGCTGGCCAGACACCGGGGCCGGGCTCTGCGGGCGGAGGGTCCACTGCCAAGGACACACGGGACAGGAAAAGACCCCCGCCGCCTCCTCCCCGCTGCCCACCCGCATCGCGGCGCCACGGAGCCCCGCTGTCAATTACAGAGCCAAACTCCGACTGTGGGGATGGGTCATTCTTTGGCGGGGGGCTCTCAGGCACGTAACTTCCACGTTTTCCTGAAGTCAAAGGAAGTGGGTGACGGGACGGTGGGGGACTCTCACCTCGGCAACACCGGCTTCCTCGGAAAGCAGCTGCGACTGCTCCTCCGCTCCTTTGTCAGCGTCTCTAGGCTGCACTGCCTGCTGGGATACCGGAGGACTCAAATGCCACTTCTCTCCGCCCTCGAGGATGAGCCGCGGTTTGGGGTTGGGAGGCGGGAAGGAGAAGAGGTGGAGCCGGGGGCGGGGCCGGAGCCCGCGGCAGGCCTTCGGTCTTGCCACCTGGCCTCTTGGAGTGTCTTCCTTGACACTCCAAACTTCTTCCTTCTCTGTCCTCTGGTCTTTCCCTCCCCTGCCGTCTCCCGTAGAAGAGACAGCCTGGAGGCTCTCACAGAGCGTTCTCCCTCTCTCTGCGCTCGTTAGGCAGTCCCTCTTGCCTCCTGTCCTGTCTCACTGTTCTGCACACAGGCAACCAGTGAGTACTCTAGGCTGGTGGCTTCCCTTAATGCTCTGAGACATTTCTTGTTGATCGCCTCTGGCTCCACCCCATCCTCAGAACCTCTTTAAGCCCCATGACTTTTTGCTCGGACTCCTTCGGTAGCCTTCTATTTGGACTCTACTTCCACTCTGACCTCAGTCTAAACGATCTCCCAGACAGCAGCCAGAGGGATTGATTTCAGATCTATAATGGCCCGCGTTACTTTTCAACTTAAAACCTTTCAGTCTCAACAGTACCTATAACACCTTAGCATGGATATAAAGTGGGCCAAGGCGGGTGGATCCCTTGAAGTCAGGAGTTCAAGACCAGCCTGGGCAACATGCTGAAACCCCCGTTTCTACTAAACATACAAAAATTAGTCTGCTGTCATGGCTGAAGCCTGTAATTCCAGCACTTTCGGAGGCCGAGGCAGGCAGCTCACTTGAAGCCACGAGTTCAAGATCAGGCTGGCAAACATGGCAAACACCATCACTACTAAAAATACAAAAATTAGCCAGGTGTGGTGGTGCACACCTGTAGTCCCAGCTACTCCAGAGGCTGAGGCATCATAATCGCTTGAATCTGGGCAGTCCCAGACTGCAGTGAGCCAGTATCACTGTGCCACTGAACTCCAGCTTGAGTGTCAGAGACAAATGCTCTCTCTCTCAAAAAAAAAAAAAAAAAAAAAAAAAAAAATTGAGACATAGAGGTTGTACATATTTTCAGAGTTCAACTGATATTTTGATATGTTCATATAATGTGTAACAGTCAAATCAGGGCAATTGGAATACCCATCACCTCAGAAATGTATCTTTTCTTTATGCTGAGAAAATTTTTTCTCTTCAACCTATTTTGATATATACAGTAAATTACTATAAACTTTAGTTACCCTACTGAAGTATTGAATACTAGCTTGTCATTCCTTCTGAAACTATAAGACTACTAGAAAAACATACGGACAGGCCTGTCATGGTGGCTCACACCTGTAATTTCAACACTTCGGAAGGCTGAGACAGGCAGATCAGGAGGATCGAGACCATCCTGGCCAACATGGTGAAACCCTGTCTCTACTAAAACTACAAAAATTAGCTTGGCATGGTGGCATGCACCTGTAATGCCAGCTGTTCAGAAGGCTAAGGCAGGAGAATCCCTTGAACCAGGGATTTGGAGGTGCAGTGAACCAAGATCACACTTCAGGCTAGGGCAAATATTTTGGGGGTAAGACCGCAAAAGCACAGACAATAAAAGCAGAAATAAACAAATGGGATTACATCAAGCTAAAGAGCTTCTGTACAGTAAACACTTAACAAAGAGAAGAGACAATCTACCAAATGAGAAAAGATATTTGCGATCTTGGCTCACTGCAGCCTCAACCTTTTGGGCTCAAGTCATCTTCCCACCTCAGCCTCCCGAGTAGCTGGGACTATAGGCACATGCACTCATGGCTGATTTTTGTATTTTCAGTAGAGATGGAGTTTCCCCATCTCGAACTCCTGGCCTCAAATGATCCACCCGCCTTGGCCTCCCAAAGTGCTGAGATTACAGGTGTGAGCCACCAAGCCTGGCCTGGAGGTCATTATCTTAAGTGAAATAAGCCAAAGACAGAAAAACAAACATTGAAATTTACTCGTTGTGGGAGTAAAAACGTGGATCTCATAAAGATAGATAGTAGAGTGGCAGTTATTAAAGTCTGGGCATGGGGAGGGGAGAAGGGGGCATTGAAGACAGGTTGATTAATAGGTACAAATATTTTCTCCCACTCTGTAGATTGTCTCTTCACTTTGTTGAATGTTTCCTTTGCTGTACAGAAGCTCTTAAGCTTCATGTAATCCCATTCATCTATTTTTGCTTTTGTTGTCTGTGCTTTTGCACTTTTACTCAAAAAAATATTTGCCCTGAAGCATTTCTTCAATATGTTCTTCTTCTTCTCCTTTTTTAATTTTTGAGACACAGTCTTGCTCTGTCCTCGGTCACCAGGCTGGGAGTGCAATGGTGCGATCTCGGCTCACTGCAGCCTCCACCTCCCGGGTTCAAGCGACTCTCCTGCCTCAGCCTCCTGAGTAGCTGGGATTACAAGCGCCCACCACCATGCCTGATTAATTTTTGTATTTTTTTTTTTTTTTTTTTTTTTTTTTTTAGTAGAGATGGGGTTTCACCATGTTCATCAAGCTGGTATCGAACTCCTGACCTCAGGTGATCCACCCACCTCAGCCTCCCAAAGTGCTGGAATTATAGGCATGAGCCACCGCACCTGGTCGCCAATGTTTTTCTAGTAGTTTCATGGTTTCAGGTCTTAGATTTAAGTCTTTATTTTTATTTGACTTTTGTATATGGTGAGAAACAGAGGTCTCGCTTCATTTTTCTGCATATGGTTATCCAGTTTTCCTTGCCCCATTTATTGAAGAGGCTGTCCTTTCCCCAAGGTATGTTCTTGGCACCTTTTTTCAAAAATGAATTGGCTGTAAATGCATGGACTTTTTCCAGGGTTCTCTATTCGGTTTCATTGGTCTACGGGTCTGTATTTATGCTGGTAGCATGCTGTTTTGGTTACTATGGCTTTGTAACCAAAGTATATTCTGAAGTAAGGCAGTGTGATGCCTCCAGCTTTGTTCTTTTTGCTCAGGATCTCTGCAATCCTCGTCTTTAAAAAAATATATGGAATGCTTCATGAATCTGTGTGTCATCGTTGTGCAGGTGCCATGCTAACCTTCTCTGTGCTGTTCCATTTGTAGTATATGAGTATAATTAAAGGTACAATTTTCATTTTTTTTTTTTTTAAATAGAGACAGGGTCTCGCTTTGTTGCCCAGGCTGGAGTGCAGTGGCTATTCACAGGCGCAATACCACTAGTGATCAGCACAGGAGTTTTGACCTGCTCCGTTTCCGACCTGGGACAGTTCACCCCTCCTTAGGCAACCTGGTGGTTCCCTGCCCCCGGGAGGTCACCATATTGATGCCGAATTTAGTGCGGACACCCGATCGGCACAGCACTACAGCCCAGAACTCCTGGACTCAAGAGATGCCCCAGCCTCAGCCTTCCAAATAGCTGGGACTACAGACACGCGCCACCGCGCCCGGCTAAAGGTACAATTTTCAAAATTGTAATGATGTTCAGAGGAAGAGTAAGGTGAAGTGTTGACTGATCCCCTCTCCGTAAGAAAAAGGTCCAAAGAATTATCCCCAGTTGCCCCACCCAAGCTGCCAGTAGAAATTCCTCAGGCTCATGCCTCTGATACCTTTGTTCACAGATTTCCTGAATTTATAATGCCCTTCTCTGTCTTTGGAATACCTATTTATCTTTCCAGACCCAATGGAAATGCTCCTTCCTCCAATAACCTTCCAGGTTAGTTTGAGGACTATTAACTCCTCCTCTATCACCATACAATGTTGCTTATTCTGCTTTGCAGTTCTTCTTAACTTGGGTAATCACTAGTCACGTGTATATCTTCCTTTCTCTTCTACCTAGACTATGAATTCTTCAGGCTGCCAGCACAATGCCTGATCCAGAAATGACATTAATACCATTTGATGAAATAAAATCCTTCATCTCGGCCGGGCGCGGTGGCTCAAGCCTGTAATCCCAGCACTTTGGGAGGCCGAGGCGGGTGGATCACGAGGTCAAGAGATCAAGACCATCCTGGTCAACATGGTGAAACCCCATCTCTACTAAAAATACAAAAAATTACCTGGGCACGGTGGTGTGTGCTTGTAATCCGAGCTACTCAGGAGGCTGAGGCAGGAGAATTGCCTGAACCCAGGAGGCGGAGGTTGCGGTGAGCCGAGATCGCACCATTGCACTCCAGCCTGGGTAACAAGAGCGAAACTCCGTCTCAAAAAAAAAAAAAAAAATCCTTCATCTCCACTGCATCTGAAGCCCTAAGTAGGCCCAGAAAGGATCCTAGGCAAGGCCTCATAAAACAGCCACACACCCTTCCCTAGGACATCACCAACTTGACCTGGCCATGTGTCGCTTTTGCAAACACAAACTGGTTAGGCAGCACAGCATTGCAAAATGGCCAAGGCTTGTACTTCCCTTGCAGGTCAGACTGGTCTGTAGTATAATATGTTGTTGCAGAAAATGTAACTGGTACAGCTCACGTAAGAAATCAGTATAGAAAAATTTTGTGGTGCCATAAAAAACAATTGAATTTCCAAAAGGAGACATATCTGCCACCTCTAGGAGGCTTCTGACTCCTGTTTGCCTTAGATTACCCTTGGGCTCGACATCCCTTCAGATCTTATAAATTGGAAGATTTCTTCTTTTGCAAAAATGGGCATCTTGCTTTGTGTTGTTCTTGCATCGTTTAAGATACATTTGCTTTCTTTCCAATTATATCACAAGTTACACTCCAGCAGGGTTTCCTCATTTCTAAAAAGGAGACAAGAATCCTTGGCCTACACAGTTTACCAGGCTCTTAGGAGGTTCTGATGTGGTAATATATATGGAATATGTCAGTGGTCCCCAGCCTTTTTTGGCACCACTGACTGGTTTTGTGGAAGTCAATTTTTCCATGGATGGGGGTAGGGGTTGGTTTTGGGATAAAACTGCTCCACCTCAGACCATCGGGCATTAGATTCTCATAAGGAGCATGCAACCTAGATCCCTCCCATGTGCAGTTCACAATTGAGTTTGCACTCCTGTGAGAATCTAGTGCTGCCACTGATCTGACAGGAGGTGGAGCTCAGATGGTAATGCTTGCCCATCCATGGCTCACCTCCTGCTGCTTGGTCTGGTTTTGTTTTTGTTTTTGTTTGAGACGGAGTTTTGCTCTTGTTACCCAGGCTGGAGTGCAATGGCACGATCTCGGCTCACCACAACCTCCGCCTCCTGGGTTCAGGCAATTCTCCTGCCTCAGCCTCCTGAGTAGCTCGGATTACAGGCACACGCCACCGTGCCCAGGTAATTTTTTGTGTTTTTAGTAGAGATGGGGTTTCACCATGTTGACCAGGATGGTCTTGATCTCTTGACCTCGTGATCCACCCGCCTCGGCCTCCCAAAGTGCTGGGATTACAGGCTTGAGCCACCGCCCCTGGCCCCGGTCTGATTCTTAATAGACAAGGGACCAGTGGCATCGGTAATAATGTAAACCACAAAATGTTCTTCAAACTAAGTTCTGTTTTATTATTATGTTTTTAAAAATCTTGACTCTGTACTAAGGTATGAGTGTTTCAGATGACAATTGTGAGAATCAAAGGTTTTATTGCAAATGACTACGGATAATGCTTCTGATCATGGTTTCCCAAATTTGTCCGAGGATGAGAATTGCCTGGAGCCTTTGTTAAAAACAGATTCCAAGATCCTATCCCAGTCCTACTGAATACTAATTTCCAGGAGAAAGATAAGATTAACAGTATAATTAGGAATGAGACCAGCTGATTCTTTTTTTTTTCTTTTTTCTTTTTTCTGGGGGACAGAATCTTGCTCTGTTGTCCAGGCTGGAGTGCAGTGACACGATCTCAGCTCACCACAACCTCTGCCTCCCAGGTTCAAGTGATTCTCCTGCCTCAACCTACCGAGTAGCTGGGACTACAGGCGCCTGCCTCCATGCCTGGCTAACTCCTGTATTTTTAGTAGAGTTGGGGTTTCACCATATTGGCCACGCTGGTCTCGCACTCCTGACTTTGTGATCCACACTGACCTTGTGATCCACTGGCCTTAGCCTCCTGAAATGCTGGGATTATAGGAGTGAGTCACCACACCCAGTCAAGAGACCAGGTGATTCTTACCCTACAGCAAATCTGAGAAACACTCATCTGGGAGATAAAGGCAATGACTCTACCAGTCATTCATGTATCAGAATGGATTAGTTAGGGTTATTTCTGGGAAATGCCTTTCAGATAAGGAGAAATCAAAACTGTGGAACAGAGCTTGGAAGGAAGCTCCAGCAGGGCCAAACTTCCCTCACAATTGTGCCTGCAGCTAGTATATGCAAGACCTTCCCCTGGAATTTCCTTGTCTTTGCCCCAAGCTCTTAGAACTGGTTTGAGGAGCTGTGTGACTTGCAGATAATATCACTTACCATTTGAAGTCAAAGTGTAACACAGGGGCCTTTACTGCCTCAACTAATTGGTGATGTTTTAGGTATTTCCTTTTTTTTTTTTTTTTTTTGAGATCCGAGTCTCGCTCCGTCACCCAAGGCTAAAGTGCAATGGCTCGATCTTGGCTCACTGCAACCTTTACCTCCTGAGTTCAAGTGATTTTCCTGCCTCAGCCTCCTGAGTAGCTGGGATTACAGGCACACATCACCACGCCTGGCTGGTTTTTGTATTTTTATAGAGATGAGTTTTCACCATGTTGCTCAGGCTGGTCTTGAACTCCTGACCTCGTGATCTGCCTGTCTCAGCCTCCCAAAGTGCTGGGATTATAGGCATGAGCCATAGCGCCTGGCCTGTTTCAGAAATATCTTAGTGCCACGGTGGCTTTATCCAACCAGTGCTCCTACTAGATCCCTCTCTCCAGAGCGCTCCCAGCTCCCTGGGCAGACCTCTTTCATAGCTCTTAAACACTGTGCTGTCATTGTTGTCCTGTTTGTCTCTTAAGTGGTGAGAACTGGACTTGGGCTTATCACATTGTGAGGCTCAGGGTATGCAAAGGTGAAATTGTCTGTTTACTCTGCACCTCACCTAGTTGACTGGAAGGTTACTGAGGGTAGTCGTTGTTCAACTGTGTATGTATCCTTATGTCCTAGTCTCCTGTTATGTACCGAGTCATCCATCAGGAAATATTTGTTAGAGTGAATGGTGAGGATTGCGGTGGCTCACACCTGTAATCCCAGCACTTTGACAGGCTGAGGCAGGTGGATCACTTGAGGTCAGGAGTTTGAGACCAGCCTGGCCAACATGGTGAAACCCCATCTCGACAAAAAATACAAAAAAAAAAAAAAGAAAAAAATAGCAAGGCATGGTGGTGAGCACCTGTAGTCCCAACTACTTGAAAGGCTGAGGCACGAGAATTGCTTGAACCCAGGATACGAAGGTTGCAGTGGGCCGAGATTTCATCACTGCACTCCAGCCTGGGGAACAGAGCAAGACTTGGTCTCAAAACAAACAAAAAGAGTGAACGATTTCCCTTTTGGTAAAGCCTATGTTAGTTACTTCAGGACAGATGCAGAGTCCACTAGGCATGGGCACTGGCAGTCTTAGGATTGGGGCTCAGTGAGAGCCTACTGTTCATAGCCTTTATATAGGTGTGCTATTTTTGAGCTGAGGTGAGTTTGAGAAGGTCCTTATGAGAGGAGAGGAGAATATTGCTTAGTTCTCCCATTATCTTGAGGCAAGGGCTGGAGACCAAAAGATGTGGCTAAAACAGGGTTGAACACCAACAAGGCTTCAGCTGCATTATCATTAGCTGACAATCCAGACACATGGTCAATCCAGCCATAAAAAGGTATTAAAAGTCACACCTTTAATTCCAGACCATTCAGACATATTTCATTGCCAGTCAATTTTGGTAGCGTTTGCCCAGAGCTCCTCTCCTGTTCTTTCTTGCCATAGCTCATTTGGGAAAAAAATTAAGGAACAGGAATCATAATTGCAGTCATTCAGTGGCAGAGCAGACAATAGAGACACGTTTTAATTGCCTAGAGCACTTTTTGTAAAAGTAGGAACTGATTTCCATGGTTGCATTAGCTAGCTGTATGACATCAGGCAAATCCTTTCTTCTTCCTGGGCCTTGAAATTCACTTCATACAATGAAGTTGCTGGACTAGAACGAGTTTGTGGCAGGCCTGGCCAGAAATTTCTGTTCAAGGTCCTGGA